AATGACCAAATAATGGCTTACATTGAAGAAAATGGTTTACTAAGTCAGTACCAGGCTGGCTTCAGAAGAAAGAACTCATGTGAAAGCGCTCTACAAACTGTTCTCTCTGATTGAAAATCTGCATTGGAAGATGGAAAAATAATAAGTGTAGTTTTTTAGACTTTAAACGTGCATTTGAGACTATTAACAGAAAGTTACTTCTCCTGAAGTTACAAAAATATGGGTTTGGTCAAATTATTTTGAAATGGTTTGAGGATTACTTGAGTGATTGTATGCAAGTAACCAGATATATTGAAACCTCAAGCGAGAGGGAGTCTAGTTATGGTGTACCCCAAGGTACGGTGCTTGGGCCGTCACTTTTCATCTTGTACATAAATGACATTGTGAGGAATCTTCAAAACTGTAAAATACAACTTTTTGCAGATGATACCATCCTTTATATATCAGGTGTCAATATTCATGAAATAACAGACATAATAAATACTGAACTTGATAATTTGTTTCGGTGGTTGAACAACAACTACCTTCAGTTAAATGTAAATAAAACCAAAGTTATGTTTATTAGAAATAAGAATAAAAGGTTGGTTAATAATTTGAATATAAGTATAAATAATGAAAAGCTAGAAATTGTGAACTGTTTTAAGTATCTTCGTTGCATGATAGATGAGCATTTAACCTTTTCGGAACATTTTAAATATATTTCAAACAAAATGGCAAAAAAAGTTAACTTATCAGGACGTATATCAAAGGACCTAAGTTCACGGGCTAAACTAAATATATTGTCGCGGCTTTGGATCGCCGGACAGAAATCTTGGGTTCGTCGTTCGTTTCGTTTATTCCAAAAATCAAAGTCCAATTAACACAGCAATAATTTATTCCACAAAACACTCTGACACTAATTACTTTACTAACTCAACAATTAAACTCTTTACAATCACTATTTAAATCGTATCACAACTGAAACTTACTTATAAATCAATGCCAGCCTTCTTATATATCCCTAAATCTATTCCTGTAAAATCTAGAATACACACGATAATCTTATTTTCCAGATTAAAGTAGAATAATTCGCTAGATTCTAGTATTTACGCCATCGATTCTTGACAGCCTGGCGGACGTTTAGCTTATTGTGACAATATATAAAACAATTGTTGCGCCACACCTCTATTTCTGTTCAACCTTGTTGTTTCTAATGAACAATTCTGAAGTTGATACTTTACAAAAAATACAAAATAAAGCATTACGAATAATATTGGGATGCAACAGATACCCTAGAAGAACTGATATGCTGAGTCTCGCAAGTCTGTTGAGTGTTAGGCAAACTTTGACCCTTAACACCATGTTGTTTATATTCAAAATGATTAACCAACTAGTTCCCCAACATCTTTTGAATAATTGCAGGTTTGTTAAAGATATACATGAATATAACACAAGATCTAGAAATAACTTTTATTTGGATAGATTAAGTACTAGTTATAGTCAGAATAGCATTTTTTATAGGGGATTAAAGCAATACAATGAATTACCTGAATTTATTAAAAACTGTGATAGTCTTATGAACTTTAAAATTTCTTGTACTGAATATATTAAGCAAAATGTAAAATTATAATCATAAGAATTTAGCTATTTATCTTTTGTTGTGAAATTTCGTTACATAATGTAAATATTACTAGCCAAGTGCTAAATAAACTGATTATTATTATTATTATTATTATTATTATTATTATTATTATTATTATTATTTCAATATTAAATTTAGGATGGCAATCTTTCATGCTTCTAGGTAGTTTGTTATACAAAAACAGTCCTTCTGAATAAATGCTTCTTTGTGCTCCTGTAGTTCGCATTTTTTCTGTACGGAAAATACCTCGCTGTCTGGTTTGGTAATCATGAACATCTTCCGTCCTAGAGTAATATTTTCATGTGTTTGAGATAGCTCATATTTGTGAATAAATGTACATACTTGGAGAATGTACATAGATTTAATGTTAAGTATTCCTCTTGGACCATAAAGAATTTCCGTTGGGTGAAAACGTGGCAACTGGTACACATATTTAACAGCTCTATTCTGTAACACCATAAGAGGATGAAGGTGCTTTTGATTTGTGTTGCCCCATATAATGGTTAAGTATGACAGATGTGAGTTTATCAGGGAGTAGTACACCATTTTACACTGTTGTATATTTATATATTTAGCAATTCTTTCAAGCATGCCCAGAGCTGAAGCAATTTTGTCACATATAGCTTATATATGTTGTTCCCATAGACGATTATCTATCTACAAGCCAAGATACTAAATGAGATTTTGTTTGCTAAATTTAAATTTCCCAAAGTTTAATTGCTGCTCTCTGTTTACATCTTATATTTGAAATTATCATGTAACTGCATTTATTCTTGTTCAGTGAAAGTTTTTGATATCTAAGCCATTCGTCTATGTCGTTCAAATCTTTTTCTACAATGTGTTGTAGTGTTTTGGGATCTTTTCCTGCATACAACAATCCTGTGTCATCTGCATATAGGTATGGTATCGATCTTAAAAGTAAACTGGAAATAGAGTTCATATAAGCACGAAACAATGTGGGTCCCAATATAGACCCCTTGGGAACTACACATGTTATATCTTCTGTTGTAGTACTAAGCACACTGGTTAGAATCCGAGCTTTTGAACCATTGATATAGTTAAAGCACCATTAAAGTTTACAGAATTTAAAAAGGTGTGAAGCTGGTATGAAGGATGTAATTGACTTTGATTGATTATTGCTGTCACATGTAATTAATATAGTCCACACAATAAAAAAATCATAAAAGTAATGTCCTTAGTTTGAAGAAGTCAATAAGAGAAAATAATGCCAATTGGTGGCTCCACACACTGTTACATAGTACGTTTTGAGTTCGTCAACTAAGATAGTCTTTCAACCATACTTAAGGCCATTCCAGTTATTCCATTTTGTTCTAGCACTTTTATAGGTATGTCATGCTCGACTGTATCAAAGGCTTTCTGCAAGTAATAAAAGTACACAGCTTAACCTTTTGTCCATTTTGCTATATACATATATCTGTAATCATGTTGATAGCAGCTGTTACTGTACTTGAATTACGTCTACTTGAATTACGTTGAATTACCATATTGTCTGTTAGACCAGGAATCTGATGAATCAAAGAATTGTGTACAATTTGGTAATTGACACAGGCTTCCAAAATTTTTGACATGGCTGTTGAGAGCGATATTGGTCGGTAGTTTCCAGGTTGCTTTGAGTCACCTCCTCTTTATACAGTGGTACAACTTTTGCCATTTTCATCGAGTTTGGGATTGATCTAGTGATAAGAGATAGGTTAACTAACTTAGTTATAATTGCTATTAACTCCACTTTAAATTCCTTAATGACATCATTGCTGAAGCCATCACTGCCTGGAACTTTTCCTTTCTTTAATTTATCAAGGATATCTTTAAAATTTTCTTCCTAGAGACCTGTTGCCATTCAAATATGTATTTTTTTAGCTGTATATTTACAGGACTACATGATGGTGGTTGTTTGCTTTTTGATAGTTGATCCTACTTGAGAAAAGTACTGGTTTAACTGATTAGATATATCAATAGTTTTATTGTAGTAGGTACAATGTATTTTGATATTGAAGCTCATGAATTGTTACTGATTTTTTTATATTCTGTGTATTATGGATAAGGTGGTTTAGCGCTGACCATATTTTTTTATTGTTACCCTGTGCTTTCTTTACCTGAGAAATAGTCTTCTAAAGTATGGATACACATCATCTGTTAGAATGGATGCCATAATTGTAGGAACGTGCGATAGTAGAGATATGCCTCTATAATTATTCACATTAGTGCTATCTCCTGATTTGTGAATAGGTAAAGGTAAAAGTGTTTAGATTTTCCAACATCTGGGAAAAATGCCAGTATTGAAAGAACACTGGAAAATATGCTTCAAGGGTTCTATTAGAGATGTGCAACAGCCTTTAAGAAACACTGGGGTGAGACTACTATTCGATCCAGAATTTTTCTCAACTGTGAAGAGAGGATCGAAGTGGTATGTTCCAAAAGGGACTGAGTAGTCTTAGTTCAGCAACCATTTGAGGGTTCGAAAAACAGATATTATCAAAGTGCATCTGATTTGGCAAGCCTGCATCTCTATTCTGCTAATGCAGTATTCTAATACCTTGTTTAGTTCCTGATAACAGATGGAAGTAGTACCCTATCCAAAATCTTCAGAAAAACTTAAAAACCAATTACTGTTTGTTCAAAAATTTAGAATTACTATGTAGAACAACATAATGCAATATTCTTTATTTTAGGAAATAGCTTTAAGGCAGAATAATAAATATTTCATTTCATTTCGAAGAAGTAGGTATTTTAGAACACCCTGTTAACAAACAGTGGGGGTACTCAAACTTGAGAAAAGTGATAATAAAAACCCTACTTTCATTGAGTTTTTGATATTTTCGACCCTTTCTTAAAACCAATTCAAGTCAAGGCAAGGACTTGAGCACTCTAGCGAACTCCCTGTTAAGTGAGGATAGTGGCAATTCCATCCATCAAAATCTCAAAAAAAAAGTTAAAAACTTTACTTTTATTGGGGTTTCTCATATTTTCACCCATCCGATTTTGAAACCAAGTATTGAATTGAATTAGTGATACCTCATCCAGAATAAGGATTTTCAAATAGTTCTAGATTAAATTGATGAAAATCAAAGGTTTCTCTAGAAATAATTCATTCTGTTTCCGAGTAAAATGATGCTTCAGATATTTTCTAAAAACAGGGGGTGTAACTCAGTGGTAGAGTGTCCGCTTCGCATGCGGAAAGTCCTGGGTTCAAATCCCAGCTCCTCCATATAAGTTTTTTTTTTTTAACTAACTGGAGAACTTATTTGAATAGTTTTTTTTTTTTAATAATAATAATTATATCCTAATTTATCTTATCCTAGGAAATATAAATAAACTAGAAAATATAAAAACAAAAACAAAATTAGGTTAAGCTCCTTACAGGTTCTCCGCCGATTTTGTTAACAGTATAATCCACTTGGCCTCCATGTTTTTCTGTAATTAGTTCGTCCTCGTATCCTAGAAGCACTACGTTATTGTTTTTTGCCATGCCTTAATGGAAGAATTTGATAATTTTCTAATAGAAATGGAAAAACACACTACAATGGAAACCTAAAGATTTTTATTTATTATGTTTCGTGGGTATGCAACCAAACATACAGACGTTTTTAAAATATATTTATCCTTTTCTGGCTCAAGGAAATAGGAAAGGATCCGATTCAAAGGGTATCTATTCATTCAAATGGTCATAAACGAAATTATATCTTCCTGAAGAACATGGCCCATTAGCTCAGTTGGTTAGAGCGTCGTGCTAATAACGCGAAGGTCGCGGGTTCGATCCCCTCATGGGCCAATACGTTTTTAATTTTTTTTTAACAATTCAATTTATTAATTAATATATTTACATGCAATTTAATAATCTCTATTCAAATTGCTATTTTGCTACAGTCTTGGGTTGTTCGCCACCAGAAAACGATCCCACAAAGTTTTTAATTTCTTCATTTCCCATTAAAGCGTCCACACCTTTTTTGGTATATTCTCTTGAATAGTCTGGTACTTTTATTAAAAATTGGAAAGCTGACCGGACACCGCAGTTCCAATATTCTTGTAGTAGCTGGCCTATATTCTCTGTTTCAGGGACATGGGGCAGCTACAATGGAAAATGGATTTATTAGTTTTGATTTTTGATTTCGTAGGTAAAGTAGGCATTAATAGACCAAGTAATAGACATACCTCCACTGGTATTTGAGCTTTGATTTCCTCTACATAAGGATTCAGTGTTGCCTTAAGCCTGTTCCCAGTTGCAATAGCTGCATCGCTGTCTTTCCAAATTCCTTGTTCTTTGATATAATATACTGCTGAAGCCGCGATGCCTGCTTTAATGGCAAACCTGAAAAGTTAAAATGAATTAAATCACAATAATTATTGAATTTTTGTTGTGATTGTGAGTATTTACGATTTAATTGTTTTGGGGGTAAACTTCATTGCTGAGATCATTTTTTATTGTGACTGTTTGTGTCAAGTGAAAACCGTATTTGTTTTTCACTTGTTTGAATTGACTTACTTGATCATTGCGGAAAATGGAAAAACCAGCAAAACCTGCAATAATTTTCTTTTGTTGATGTTATGTCACAGAGTCACCTAACCTAAAAAATACGTAATTTTTAAGTTTGTTCGCGGAACACACTCTGAACCAGTTTGGAACAATTCAGGATTGTCAATTAGCTTTGTTTTGGTTCGAAACTTGGAACGCTTCTGGAATTGCGCAGAACTGCTTGCGCACAAAAAATAATAGAGGACTGTTCTAATACTAGTTCTGAACCAATTCGGAACCAAAAAAACCAAAACACAAAATTCTAAAACAGTTCCTCCTTCAGAGCAAGAACTGAGAGAACCGTTCTAGAACAATCCCAGAATTGTTCTCAAAAAGTTCTAGATAAACCAAAACACTGTCAACACAGTTCGATTACGATTCTGAAAAAACCAAAACGCGTTTTGTAATATGCGCATGTGCAGGATGATTCCGAACTAGTTCTGAGTGAAACCAAAACAAAGCTTGTCCATTGAGCCGATTTGAGCCTCCCTTCCACTCGGCTCTTGCTGTGCTGAACCCGAACTAGCTTATCAGTGGCTAGCTTGCACTATTCGAACCAGTGGTTTGACTCGAATGGTTTCGTGTTTCGGGGTGAAAAGAGTAAGAGGAGTGGAAGTAATCCTCATCCTCATAAGACCTCTGTAACAAATCCCCCCTGTCACCACCACCAAGGCAAATATCCAGTTGTGACGTAGGCAGCATGTTATTTCTCGCCTTGGCGTAGGCTGTTTAAACAGCTGACGACTTAGTTATGATGTCGGGAATGGAAACACATCAATATGGCGGCGATTACCAAAAACGAGGCCGGTATTCTCGTCCTCGAAAACGCACACCTTCTTTTAGTCGCTCGGCACTTAATGTGAACGCCTATAAACTGTCCGGGGCGCTCTAGAGCAGCTCAAGAGTGCTTAAAGTACGTTACTAGAAAGCGACTCTATAGGTGTGTATCATCCTTGAGTGGAAGTGACCTTGCCCAAGAACGATACACCACAAGAGGATGGTCGCTTCTCGTAAGCGCAGTGTTCGCCAATTTTAGCAGACCACAACGGTCAATGACCAGGCGCGTGACGTACTCTGGCCGGTCTGGCCCCCTCAATCCAAAGATTTGGTATTAGTTACATTGCTGGACATTGTATTGAAAATTCGTGAAGTTCAATATGAGATTTGTCGAAATTTATTGCATTAAAAACCAAAATAATATCATATCCTGCTATTCTAATAACACATAAAACTTGTTTCGAGTGGACCAGGTGACGTCACTACAGCAGCGAGTGCTCGCGCTAAACTGGCGGAAAAAAAAAACGCCGATGTGACCATCCCCTGTGGTTTATTTTTATTTATCGTTCTTGGCCTTGCCTCTCCGCCACTGAATTTGTGACAGGTGACAGTGCAATAGCATTGCTCCACGCATTGGAGGTGAGTTCGGAATGGTACAAAGTGTCGACACTTTTTATTCTATTGACACTGTGGCGTTCGTTAATTAGTAGGAGTAAGTAAGTTTACTGTACACTTTATTTGCGTTTAGAAGTAATTTGGTGCCCGAATGGTGTGAAGTTGGTGGGACACAGTTTACTCGGTATAAAATGACGATGTATTCGGTGTGACACCGCCGATCACACCTTCATCACGTGATATAACACTGCATTACACGAACACCACACCAGCACCGCACTAAAATCGCATTCCGAACTCAACTTCGGAACAAGGGCTGCGTTCGAGAACGACTATTTCAAACCGGTTTTGGACCACTGTGGTGTACAAACACAGTGCAAGCAGGTTTTCGCTTACCAGTAACCAGCGCCGACTCGTGCTTATAAGTGTACAAACACAGTGCAAGCAGGTTTCCGCTTACCGGCAACCAGCGCCGACTCGCGCTTATAGGCGCAAAATACTGGTAAGCGGAAACCTGCTTGCACTGTGTTTGTACACTTAGCGCGAAAAATGAACGCATGTTTTTAAATCGACTAGAACACAATAAAAAGCAGGTACTCGACCTGTTTTTTACTGTGTATTGTAATTTCTTCTGTGAGAACAGACCGAAAATCACCTATTCTAAATTTTAAATCGAAGAAAAAATTAACTCACTAGCACAGCCTAAGCACAACCTGAATTACAAGCATTCAATCGAGATCTGCGGTTGATATTGTGTTCAAGTGCCGCTCCAGCGTACAAAAAACGGTTGGCTTTAGGCCGGATTTTCATGCATCCGTTTTCCGGCGAAATATGTCCGAAAAATCTTCTATTTTGACATATTTATATACGATTATGTCAGAATAGAATGTTAAACGGACATATTTCGTCGGAAAAACGGATGCATGAAAATCCTCCCTTAGCCTAGTACTCATAACTGCGAGATTCGCATTTTTTTGACATTGCGTTGACAATTTGACGTTTTATGCGTGTATCAAACGTCAAATTGTCAAGGCAATGTCAAAAAAATGCGAATTTCGCAGTTATGAGTACTAGGCTTTAGGGTGGATTTTTATGCATCCGTTTGTCCGACGAAATATGTCCGAAAAATCTTCTATTTTGACATATTTTTATACGATTATGTCAGAATAGAATGTTTAACGGACATCTTTCGTCGGACAAACGGATGCAAGAGGCGATTTTCAGCCTGGAATGATTATTTATCGGTAAATACCGTGGTTATTCTTTTGGTTGACAACTTTGACAGCCAAGTGTGACGTCATAGCCGGCCCCCACCATTCAAGAATCATAACCCAAGGAACTGACCGCTGAAATGATTTGGTTATAGCAGTGTAGGGTTATGTTTATTATTCTTATTTCTTTTTCCGTTTCAACAATAGTTTTATGTTTAGGTACAAAAAATGGCGCTGAATCTCTCGTTAGTCTCGTTTATCGAACAGATTTTTTTTGGGGATGATCTAAACATGGTGAATTGCAGTGAGTGAGTGAATGTATACTTCTATGGTTGCCACCTTTTGATTTCCGAAAACCCGTACATAATCGAAGCTAACTTTTTTTTGTAGCATAATTTACACTCGTATCTGTAAAATGAATTTTTAGAAACAAATTAAAAAAGGTACCTGCCTACTTAATTTCAAACGCCACCCCTCGTAGTTACAGAGACACTTGTAAGTGAACAGAACGACACAGTACATACATAATTATTTGTTTTATTAGGCAGAAAAGCACAATATTCAATGCCGCGGCTAGTGTTCCATAGCCGAAGGCGAAGCTAGGAAACCAACCAAGGCATTAAATTTGATCTTTTGCCATGTGAAACCATTTTTTCTCCGAATTTGTTACAACACGCATAATCCACTTTTTTATGTTTATCAATTATTGCGCTGATAACGTTTGTTGAATGGATAGCAACGAACTTTTCTGCCTAGGCAGAGAAAGTCAATTTTTCCGTCCCTAACTGGAAACCGGAGACGTTTGTGACACACCCGTCATTCAAGAAGTAGGTAGGTTCAGAAATTAGTTGGGTATATCCTAAGGAGTTCGACATTCGCCTTTATAAATTTTATGTTAAGTATTAATTATTATTAATTATATAGTTATCCAGATATTCCCGGACATTTTCATCATGCGTCCGGACACCGGACAAACCTTTAAAAAACCGGACAGTCCGGGTGAAAACCGGACAGGTGGCAACCCTATATACTTCTTTCATTGTGCCAGGCTACAACGCAACTGCAAAACCACAAAACATCAATACAAATCCAAAAATAATAACAATAACATCAAAAAGCTGTAACCAAAAGATTAACCCAAGTCCAAAGCTGGGTTATAATCGGTTATAAATAAGTGGTAAATACCAAAAGCAAATCAGCTGATATGTGACGTCACAACTTCCCCTACTTTGGTTAAAACCGCGATGGCGGAAATGCATTGGTTATAACCAATTAATAATCATTCCAGGCTGAAAATCGCCTATGAAAATCCACCCTTAAGCCTAGTACTCATAACTGCGAAATTCGCATTTTTTTGACATTGCGTTGACAATTTGACGTTTTATGCGTGTATCAAACGTCAAATTGTCGAAGCAATGTCAAAAAAATGCGAATTTCGCAGTTATGAGTACTAGGCTTTAGGGTTACTTTTCATGTATCCGTTTATCCGTCAATCCGTTGATCCGAAAGTATTCCTATTGGCCCAATATTTTGGCGTCAGAATATTGGATCAATAGGAATACTTCCGGATTCTGGCGCCAAAATATTGGGCCAATAGGAATACTTTCGGATAAAAGGATTGACGGATAAACGGATGCATGAAAAGTAGGCTTTACACGTTCAAAATCGGCCGCGGTAAAGTAACTTTTGGAGGTGCTTTCAACTGAGTCTAGAAATGGTTATACGAATTTTGATTGGATAAGTGGGGTACCTATTTAACTTTTGGCACAAATAACAACAAATAAATAATACAATACAAAAAGCTTCTAGAACGGAAGTGGAAGTGATGAATAGATAATACTAACTAACGCTGACGATCTGAAAATAATAAATTTAGGAATTATTACGAAAATTGAAAAATAAGCATTAACAAACCAGGCGGAACCACGAACAATCGCTATCGATTGGTTCTCGACAAGTTCTCACCTCGTCCACCCATCGCTCAACGTTAGTCGCCAAAATTGCCACCGCAAACGTTCGTTTGCACCGCAAATGTTCGTTTGTGGTGGCAATTTTGGACCCTAACGTTGAGCGATGGGTGAACGAGGTGAGAAATGAGGGGAAATTGTCGAGAACTTATCGATAGCGATTGTTTGTGGTTCCAGTGCAGGGACAAATTTATAGGGTAATTTTGATGGCAAATGTCATGAGAATTGAGAAACGGTATTTGGCGTTCCAGCAAATTCATACCAGATTTGGCATCGCCGGTAGAAGGGGAAAAGTAGGTTTTGGCGTTTTGGCATTAGCATTTCCGTCTTTGAACGCACTCAGGGAGTTAAGAAAGTATGACAGACACAATTGACACATCATATATGATATAACCAGGGCCGAGATTCTAAAATCACGATTCGACACACGACTCGACAACGATACCGGCCTTGTCGTCTCGAAAGGTATAATTCCAATGAGATTTCTAACCTAGAATCGTCGGGAAAATCGTCTCGCTGTCGAGTCGTATGTCGAATCGTGATTTTAGAATCCCCGACCAGGGCTGTGTTCAAGAACCCTGGTGCGTCGAATAAAAATCACACAGCTGCCGTTCGAAAAGGCGGAGTGTGAATGAAAATCACACGGTTTTCGACGTTCTGGAAAGTAGTTGTCACGTACTGGTGCGCGCACCGGACACTCTAGTCCAGACTAAAGTGAAAGGATAACGCACACCTAACATGGGATTTTTGGGCTCTATGGATTTTGTCTATTTTTTGATATGTTGTAGAGGATTTAATTCTTAACAACCTTTAAATGGGACAAAATCTTGTAGGTATAAAGTCTAGTACTCATAACTGCGAAATTCGCATTTTTTTGACATTGCTTCGACAATTTGACGTTTAATACACGCAGAAAGCGTCAAATTGCCAACGCAATGTCAAAAAAATGCGAATTTCGCAGTTATGAGTACTAGGCTTTACAGTCTATGAGATATGAGCGTTGAAAGATTGACTTTTTTGCGACTTTTTGTGTGGAGAGTATACGAAAAACTGGTGTTTATCAGTCAAAATATTGTCATGTCGACATATTTCAAGTCACTAACAACAAATGTCAACATAGGCTAGGGCCGGGACCGCACTGGCATCAACATGGGCCCCAGTGCGGTCCTGGCCTTAACCTATGTTGACATTAATTTGTAAATAACGTAAAATATGTCAAATGTCAATATTTTGACTGTTAAACATCAGGGGCGAGTTCAGAAATAACACACCGGGTGTGAGTGCGATTTTATGGGTGTGACTGAAATGACAA